GTACTATACCGATCCAAGTTCCCAACCAGCCCTACTGTAAGACTGCAGCAAAAGCTGGTACTCACAGGCTTACAAAGTAAGCACACTATGCTCCCACCCAACGCATAGCATCATGCTGCTCCAATAAAATACCCAAAGCTAAAAATAATGAAGAAATAAAAAAAATCATAAAAATAAAAAATAAAAACTGAAAAATAACAAAAAAGTGCACTTACCTTCGGCCCTATCGCAGGACTGCAGCAAAAACTGGTACCCGCGAACTTACTAAAAGTAAGCGCACTATGCTCCTCCCATGAAAATTACGCATAGCACCATGCCGTACCACAACCAACCAGCCCTACTGTGAGACTGCAGCAAAAGCTGGTACTCACAGACTTACAATGTAAGCACTCTATGCTCCCACCCATGCATAGCATCATGCTGCTCCATTAAATACCCGAAAGACTACTTAAATATTTCCTTAGACAAACGGCAGTGTAATGCGGAGATGATATGGAAGGTGCGGAATTTCAAGACGAAGAAAGAAAGGGAGAAGGCGAAAGTGCCTGCTACGACACCACTAGATAGTCTTCCGGTAAATATTGCTACACTGCAGACAGATAAAATATACATAAAGTTAGAAAAATGGCGGCCAGTAGATATCAAAACCGAACCTCAATAACCAAGAGGTAATAGTGGACGTGATTAGCAAATGGCGAGTAGGAGGAGACTCGAGCTCAGATTTGGATTCAGAGGACAAAGCCAACAAAGTAGAAGTCACGACCAAAATGCCTCTGAAATGAAATAACATTGCGCCGAAGGAAGCCATTGAAGTCATAAAGGAGTATCGCGTGGACGGGAAAATAAAGCACATACGAAACAAAGTGACTGATGATGCATCCGAAGGTCTAAAGGAGAAGCTGATAGAACTGGAAGAGATTAATACAACAGCTTCTACGTATATAAAATGGGAACACATCAGAACGGAGGCGCTAAACACATTGCGGATCGGGAGTTTGGAAAAGATGAAAGAGTGGGTAATGAAAATGAATAATTTCCTGAGGGACGAAAAGAAATAATGCACGTTGCTGTCGTTGCTCCCCGTCATTCGAAGTCACGTGATTACACGTAAAAAATTTTTCCGATATCAAAGTTTTTCAGGGTGCAACGAGTGCTAAGGTTTGTTTGCTAGTCGACTCGTGGTGTTTAACATAGGAGTCTTGATTTAGTTTGGGGTTTTCAGGGACACATACTAATTTTTTGTTTTGTGGGGATTGGAAATGCGGTGCAATTTATAAAAAAAAAAAATATTTCCTTAGACAGACGGTGAAAAGGAAAATTATAAAAATCGACTATAGAGGAAGGGGGAGAGACGACAAAATAAAACGTCCAGAAAGCTGTGGACCTACAAAAGAGAAAGGGGAGAGACGAAAAAATAAAACGTCCAGAAAGCCGTGGACCTACAAAAGAGAAAGCAGAAACGTTTACAGCTGAAACGTTAGTAAACGTTTCGCTAAATAAAAAAAAAAAAAACAAACAGAATTTCGTAAGTTTACCTTCGAAATACTGTCTAGCAGGAGGCGTCCGTAGAGCAGTAAAAAAATTATTTTTTTTTCTTCTTCTTGGTCCTAGACAACAAGAGGACAAGTGAATAAGTGAAAGTGGATAGAGGGTTTTTATAGTTTTTATACTTTATAAATTGTGACTAATATTTACATCATAAAAATTTTTCCATAAAAGATGACTCATAATTATATTGATTATATTGATCGTATGTTACGCGTCGCGTATAATTATTATAATAGGAAATTGTTAACTGATCAAAATCACAATTTGAGGTTCCGATTTCCGCAGATTTAACCGAATATTTTAGTAAATGTGTAAATATAATATAATAATAAATATATTCTAAATGAAATCATTTAATAATTATTCGAAGTGAAGATGACATTTACATCTAAAATCTATGATTACTGACCAAACTTTTTTAAATAACGGTAAGTACATTTTACTTACTAACATTTACATTATAGGAATTCAAACGAGCGTCCTTTCCTGGACCATGGTCTAGTCGTCTAGATGCTTATCCTGGACCATCGATAAAGATTGTTTTGTGTAACATTTGTCTTAGAAAAAATTTCGCGATGTTATTTTTATTTTTAAAAAAGGGAGTGAAGAAAACAAAATTCAACTCCTCAAAGTAATTTTTTAGTGAAACAATTAACAATTTGTCATCTATTAGCCAGCAAACTTTATGTTTTAATATTCGTATTTTATACACAAATAGTAATATATTCTAGAATAGATAGTAAATAAAATTTTGTACTCTTTATTACCTTTATTTATATTTTACATTTTTTGTTACAAAATACAACTCATAATTTCATAAATAAATATAATTAAATAATTATTAAAATATTTCTATCTTTTAGAGTCAGTTCCAAGAGTGTTCCAATGTAAAAATTATGTCAACAGAGTTAATATAGTTGTGAAAATGCCTAAAACAAACTTTAATGAAAAAGGATCGTCAAAATAGAATCAAAATTTTTAGAATTATCAATTTGATCGATACCATTGTATGTTCTCAACCCATCTATTTGAATTGTTTCACTTATCACATCATAAAACCTTTCAATTAATCCTATTGTAGTACTTTTACCACATCCTGATGGTCCAACCAATGCAGCGAATTGACCTGGTTTAATGTTTAAATTAAGACCATTAAGTACTGGTACATTATGACGAATATTTTTGGTTAAACGAATTATCGAATGTTCTAATCTTATTATGGAAATAAAAGAAAAATCAACAAATCATTCGATCAATTGAGACTTCGCACGATCAGTTGATTGAAAAAATCAAGTTTTAAATATGAATGAATACGTTAAAAACAAAAATGTATTTAAAATGATGTGATTGATTAATTCTTTGGCTGAATAATAACATCGAGATTTTTTAAAAATTGATTTTATGATGGATGAGTTGATAAGGACATAAGATTATAATCGAAGCAGGTATACAGTATATACTGTACAGTACAAATTTGCTATTGTTTTACATTATATCTAATAAAAAAAAAGACGCGATTATATGATATCATGCAGCGTGAAAATGACATTACACGAACGTTTAAATATTTTGTAAATAAGCATTCATAGTGTACATTCAAATTTTGCGATTAAATAAGTGTTCTAATTCAATTCGGTATTTACATGTATTGCATTTTTATGTGAAACGTTTTTTAAATTTTCATCTATCTTTATATTAATGAAGTAAAAATAATTAGTTGAGATTCCGTTTTTTAATTTTTTATCAGAAAAATTTTTATCTAAAAAAGGAAATTTATAAATATTTCTTTGTTGTATTAAAAAGGAAATTAACAAAAGAATGAAAATCGGTTGATTTTTTTTCTGAAACTTTTAATTCCAAATCTTATTTACTGCAGAACCAAAAAAAGAAATCTTTAGTCATGAGATAGTTTTAATTCATAACATTAGCACATAAATTCTAAATTAAGGCTTTCATTGATTTAATGAAATTAGGGTAGATTTGCATCCAATGAGGAATATTTTTTTTTTTTTTTTTTTTTTTTTTTTTTTTTTGAAACCTCTTTTGAGTCTTTTCTTTATATTAGAATCAAATATCATTGCAATTTAATTATTTTCTTTTTGTTTTCTTAAAAATTATCTTCATCGTAAATTTTGATTTTCTAGTACTTCATTTTAATATCTTGCTTGTTTGAATAAACAAACCACTAGTACGAAATTAGTCGAATTCTGAATTATTTTTATACAAGAATTTAAATATTTTCGCTAAAGCAAGATAACTGCTATAACAATATTCGTACTACAATTTTTTCCACTGATACAACTATTAAATCAGATGAAACTAATTCCTTTTTTAAAAAAATAAATATTATGGATTTAGAAAAAAGAAAAGAAGTTTACGGGGTATGTGGAGAATGTAATGAACCAGGTACAGGATGGTGTTGGTGCCAATCTTGCAATGCTAAAAGATTTAAGGAAAATTTTAAAAATTGGACTAGTGGAAATAAAAATATTGACGAATTAATACAACAATCACAACTTGATGCTTTACATACTTTTAAATGTCTTGAATGGATACCTTTTGAAAAATTTAAAAACGTTACCTATATTACCAGAGGAGGTTTCAGTAAAATTTATTCGGCTGACTGGCCTGAAGGAAATATTGAATATTGGGATATTGAAAATCAAGAATGGGTCCGAGAATTAAATGTAAAAGTTGCATTAAAAAGTTTAGATAATTCATCTAATATGAGTAATGATTTTTTGAATGAGGTAATTAAAATAATATTACTTTAATTTCTATTAATACATATTTGTTAATAAAATGTTTCTCTTCTTAAATAATCTATATTAGATTAAATATTATATTTCAGGTCATTTTTCTTGTGTTAATACCGTCATATGTTATGGAATGACTCAAGATCCAGATACTCAAAATTATATGATGGTTTTACAGTATTATGAGAGTGGAAATTTGAGAAATAATGTAATGAATGATTTAGTAGAATATAAGATTAAAATTCCATATTTATTTTGGATCATAGATGGACTTTCAGCTATTCACGATGCTGGAAAAGTTCATAAAGATTTGCATTCAGGCAATATACTAGTTCATCGAAGACTTATATTAATTAGTGATTTAGGAATGTGTCAATCGGTAAATGATAATGAGCGAAAAGGAATTTATGGGGTAATGCCTTATATGGCACCAGAAGTTTTACGTGGATATCAATATACAACGGCAGCAGATATTTATTCTTTTGGAATAATAATGAACGAACTTATGTCAGAAGAAATTGCTTTTAATGATATTCCTCATGATCGTACTTTGGCCGTTAAAATATGTAAAGGATTTAGACCAAAAATTTCTGAAGATACACCAAAATTAATTGGAAATTTGATTATTAAATGTTGGGATGCTAAAGCAGAAAATAGACCAACTGCTAAAGAATTATTTCAACTATTAAGAAACTATTTCGATGAACTTAACGAAGAAGTTGGCGAAATATATTCTCAAATAGAAGAATGTGAAAAAATTAAAGAGAATAAATTAAAAAACAGAACAAAAGAAAATAAACCTAAAAATCTTCAAACACACCCACAAGCAATTTATACTAGCAGACTTTTAAATTTTAAAAATCTTCCAGAACCAGTTAATTCAATTGATTATTTATCTTCTTTTCAAGGTAAATTTATTAATACATTAATAAAATTATTTATGGGGACTATATAATTTACTGATTTATTTATTAATAGAACCCATTTCGTCAACATCAGCAAATCCAAGTGAGTATATACAGTATATACGCTTTATTAAACATTGTTGTAATTATTATATTAATGGATTTCTATTTATTATAGTTTCTGAACGCCTGAATTATGAATTAAGTGAATTAGGTAAGATATTTCAATTGTTTTTAAATATCTGAATCATGTTAATTCAATTTAATAATTATTTTTTACATAGATCTCAATCAAGATGATATTTTTTAAATTTTTTTTATAATACGTACAGTATATTACTTCATTTTTATGAATTCTTTTTGATTCTCAATATTTTGTTATTATTTTCCTTACAAAAATATTTTTAGAAAAAAACATGCAAAATTTAAAAATTTTTTTTTTATCATAGTATATTGTAAATCACATGACTTTATCGGATCAAAGAAAAATGAATTGAATAAATATACAATCTCGTCCCTGTAATTTGTATCGTGACTTTGTTCACATGGAAATTAAAAATAAAAAATAAAATAAATATATATACATCCTCTTCTTTTTTCAAATAACCTATTTTACTTTCTAAAAATGTTATCTTCATTGTAAAGTTTGATTTTCTGCTTCGTTTTAATATCTTGTCTGTAACTACTAGTACGAAATTAGTCGAATTCCGGATTATTTTTTATACAAGAATTTATTTATTTATTTACAATTTAACACTACTAAATCTGTCTCTTATACACATCTAAAAATGTTATCTTCATTGTAAAGTTTGATTTTCTGCTTCGTTTTAATATCTTGTCTGTAACTACTAGTACGAAATTAGTCGAATTCCGGATTATTTTTTATACAAGAATTTATTTATTTATTTACAATTTAACACTACTAAATATATTAGAAAATATTTATAAAATGAATATATTGAAACAAAGTATAAATACAACTAAGAATACTTTTGTGATCATAATATTGCATCTAGGATTTCAATCGAGACTATTTCCGATAGTATGAAATATGATAAACTTTATGTTGGCATCTTTCTCTAACCCCTTGTAAAGTGAGAAACTATTACTTAATATATATCATTTTATTGCACTTGGAGGAAACTATTGAGATTGGACTATCTATAAAGGCCTAATCCAACTTATCCAAGTCAGTTTGCAAATTAGTTGAAGAATTTAGGGTAATGAAAGACTATAAGAAGAAAACCAATATAAAAATATCATATTTTCAAGCTCCAACTGTTGTTTCAGGAACTTCTAATTATATGATCAATTTCGGTTTAGCTATTTCTGGTCCCGACTGGTAAATCTATAGGGAGCGTTCTTAATATTAAATAATGATAGTTATTATTAATCAGAATAATTCTTGATTATTCAATTACATCATTTAAGAATTGCTTTGTTTATCCTTCTCTTGTTAAAACAAAATTTTTAGTAATATCTATTTACTATAAGATTTTCATGAGTTGTTACTTAGACGTATTGCTTTTTAAGTTAAAGTTTATTTAAATATTATTTTTATTAAAAAAATCACTTGTAAGTAAAACAAATTATAATTATAGTAAAATGAATGAATGAAACATGGTTTGTATTTGGAAACCATAATGTAATGATATTGATGTAACATAGAACATAGAACAAGATTTCACTAATAAAGAAAGAATTGCAAAAATAGACTTGGTTAATCTCTACGAGACATGAAGATAAAGTAGTAGCAATGAAAAAACATAATAATTTAACTAGCCAGGTATAGTGAGTATATTCTACCAGAAGTATTGTCAGAAGGAAAGTTTATGAAGAACGTAGAGATATGTTTCTTTTGTTGTCCTTTCGCACTTTGGAAAGCTTGAATGACCTTCCTTATGTAAATAGCTCGCTCCTTGCTTCATGGAGAAAACAGTCGGAAAAGAATAGAAGTAATTTTAAGGTCTCGCATAAACACCTATGCCTAGTACCTCGCAATCATGTTGACCTTTAGGGCCTTAAAACTGATTGGTAAACATGTTATTACACGAATGTATCATATTCACAAAATTTATTGCCTCAAAACATGGAAATTACCTTAATTGCTTACTGAGATTTTTCCATAAATGTATCATATATTCACGAATTACAGGGAAGTTTCAGTGTGTTACCGATAGACGGTTTGACAACAATCATTTCACTGTCAACACATAGCGTGATGTATAAACATAATGGCCGGAGTTATACTGTAATGTGGGCCAGGTGATTAATTGTTACATATTGTGTTGTCGTGAGAATCATATTATTTTATACTATTTCGGTAATATGTACTTGTGTAAAAATGTATAATTCTATTTCGATTTTTTTTTTTTTTTTACGTGAAAATTAATCATCAGTTATGCAAGTTAACATCAGCTTGATTATTATTATTATTAAGATAGGTAACGTTATTGCTAATATTATAATAAAATATCAATTTGAAACATAGTAAAAAAACTATCATATGAAACAAGATCTATATAAAACATTTGTCATCATAATGACTACAAATTTGCAATTTTGACCAAGTATATGTCAGAATAAAAGTATATAAATGGAAACAGATTTCCAAGTTTTCCGTATTAAATATTTTACAGTTTTCCATATTTACGTATTAAATATTNATTTGGTAAGATTTATTCAGCTGAATGACCTGAAGGAAATATTAATTATTGGGATATTGAAAATCAAAAATGGTATAGATATGCATTGAAAAGTTTAAATAATTCTTCTGATATTAGTTCAGAATTTTTAGATGAGGTAGTCTAAATTTACTTTACTTTAAATTTGATTTATTTGTTAACAAAATTATTCCATTTTTTTAATGAATAGGTTAAATCTTATCTCCGGATACACCTTTTTAATATTGTTAGATGTCTTGGAATAACTCAAAATCCAAACGGGGAATTTGGAACTATTCAGATTTCCACATAATTCCACAATATTTAAGGTGGATTTCCATGTGTGCACCAAACATTTTTAATACTAATTCTCTCTTTCATTAGACTTAAACAAATTGAATCTCACCCGTACTTACACTCCAGAGGAACTTGAACAAATTAACAAATATCTTAAAGTTCGTACTAATTTTGAAGATGGAAGGCTAATCTCTCTTCCTCAAACTCCAATTGCTCATGAGGCTGTTGTACATGAGATTTCCAGACAACTTGGTAACTGGAATATTGATACCTGCCAAAATGGTGTTGTTACTACATCTCAAGGGGCTTTTAATTTTAGTACCACTGCTCCAAGAAAAATCCGAGCACCACACGTTGCTTTTACGTCTGCAGATACTTACAACTCACTTAATGCAAAACAACTTTGGACTTTGCATGGCCGACCTTTTACTCCCATATTTGTTGCTGAGGTTGTAAATAGTACAAGTGATCAAATACTTAATGAAGTTGATAATAGATTCAAAAATGATTACTTTGCAATGGGTACGTCTGTAGAGCTAGGATGGTTAATTGATGCAAAGAACAGCATGATCTGTACTTATAAGAAGAATAATAATGAAATTATTCGTAATAATTGTAAATGGGAAGATTTAGATGGGGGCGACACTTTACCAGGTTTTACTTTAAACATATCAATAATTGAGAAAATTGTTTCACGGGTATATATTGATTCTATTGCTTTTATGTTGCAATGTTCTATCTTTTTATTCACATATAATTTTTTTTTTTTTCATAGGATTGTGATGAAATTGAAGATAAATGCCCTTATTGTGGTTCACATTTTGCTCAGGTTTTTGCCATGTTAAAACATATAGCAAGCGTACATATTGTTGTTAAATAATAATTAAAAACTATGATAATTTTTGAAAAACATGTTTTTTATTAATATCCAAAAATGCCTTTATTGTGATTCACATTTAAAGTTATATAAAAAGTAATTTTACTAATAAAAAATTAGTTATATTTTTCATTATAAAACTTTATTTTATAAAACCTAATTCTTTATGCTTTGAACTAAATATGATTCCAAGAGTCAAATCTAAGAAATTATCAAACTTTTTCTTAATATCCAAAGGAAATGGTTTCTGTGGATTGAAATTTCTTGGAATTATTTCTGTAAATGTTTTCCACACAATATAAATGATCTGAATCTCTCTGATCACTTGTAATTAATTCATTGCCAGAGTGTTATTCATCATAATCTACAGTTTTTTGACATAGTGTGGAGATTCAATACCAAAGAAAATATCTGCATGTTCAGATCTTTCAGAATAAATTGTAGCTCATTAGCTGACTTTACTAATAACAAAGTAGGATGTTGTCTGCTTGAGTTGGTTATCAAGTGAACAAGAAAAAGAAATAAAAAAAAGAAAAAAAGGAATAAATACAATCCTATAATAAGAAATCAGATAACAAATATAAAGTAAAAACATAAATAGAAAATTTCTTCATTTTACCAGTAATTGTAAATCTCTGCATTTACCTATTATAAGAAAAAAAAAATTATTAATAGTGTGCTAAATTTTTATTTAATGGTAAAGAAGACATAGCCAATTCCTCCTTTAGAATTAGCAGACTTTATCAATAACAAAGTAGGATATTATTTGCTTGAGTTGGTTATCAAGTGAACAAAAGAAATAAAAAAAAATAAAAAAAATAAAAAGAAAAAAGAAAAAAGAAAAAAAGGGAATAAAAAAATAAAAATAAAAATAAAAATAAAATAAAATAAAAAAGAAAAAGCAGGTAATTTCATAGGAATTACCTACTTTGCTCACCCTTACCCAACCCAAACAAATAAATCCAGTACCCTCCTAAGTAAAATTTGTGAACTCCCCGACTCAATGAGTTATCTGTTCTAATTTTA